CAAGGTATGAATGTTTATTCGACAGGAAATGGTGATCGGAACATCAACAATCCCACCAATGCTGTACCGGAGCCGCGAGCTACACCAAATACAAGTATAGAAGCCGATAGAGCACCATTGGAGCAAGAAGATGATTCCAGCCTCCAACGTGGAGAAGCTCATGAAGACACGTACCAGCTTGACTTCTACACTTATCAGTACGAAGAGGACGTCGAGAAACTCGCCCCAACGACACCAGAACAAGCAACATTCACCAATGTACCAAACAAGCATCAAGCGTGCCAAAACCAGGTATTCTCAATTTATACGATTTGTGCAGGTACTGAGGTTTGTCACAATGGTTCTTAAGCATCACAACACGCCAAGGAATCACCAATTCGAGCCACAAGAGAGTCAGCTTAGTTTAGTTTTTTTTTATTTTCTTTAGTTAAGTGAACTTTCCTATTTTAATGTAGCTTTACTTTTCCTTTGTGTTGTCGTTTTATTGCTTTTATTTTGGCCCTAGGGCTAGCTGACGAGCTTTTTATAAAGCTCCCCTGCAGCGTTGTATCTTTGGTTACCTTTTGATTATCAATAAAGACTGAACTTTCTTCAAAAGCAATAGCCGCCGCTTTGCCTTTGTTCTTTGCTTTGTTCTTGTTCGTGTGATTCGTTCAAGACTAAGTGTTTGCTGTATCAGAGAGCTATCCATCCTCTCTGTGGTGCCATCAATCCACTTCATTACCTCATTTCATCTGATCCCTCAAGAGAGACCGTTATAGCCAGCTTGACAGATCCCACCTCGGCTCAAGGAGTGTCATCACGCCTTGTTCTATCATTCCCATCCATTAGTCAACACAAGAGAGCATCAAAGCCAGTGTGTTGTCTCCATCAAACCGCCTACTCTGAACATAGTAACACTCTCACCCGAGTATTACATCAGAGTGAATCAGTGTGGCAGTTCGAGGTGGATAATAGCAAAGGAGGGCGAATGTTGTTCTTAAGAGATGGTTGCACACATGGTGAGCTTCTTGTTGAATGTTGGCAAAGGAGGGCGAATAGCAAAGGAGGGCGAATGTTGTCACCTTTAAGTTATGTAAAATTAATGTCTTTAAGAAGTCTACTCGAGACAGGAGAAGTCTACTTCAGAAGTCTACTCGAGACAAGAGAAGTGTACTCGGTTGACAAGTTATGTGATATAAATGGGAGAAATATCCCTCTGAATCACTTTTAAGTTATGTAACATTAATGTCTTTTAGAAGTCTACTCGAGACAGGAGAAGTCTACTCGAGACAAGAAAAGTTTACTCAGTTGACAAGTTATATGATATAAATGGGAGAAATGTCCCTCTGAATCACTTATAAGTTATGTAAAATTAATATCTTTAAGAAGTCTACTCGAGACAAGAGAAGTCTATTTTGTAGAATAGATAAACATAGATAATTTAGGAATTTGATACAAAACATTCAATGCAATTCGACATTACATAGAAAATAACCCCTTAAACAAACAAACTTTTAAGGATCACTGAATATAAATCTTAAATTGGCATAAGAAATTACTACTAAACTAAAATTTCTGAAAACTATGTATGCAACTAAAGTCTGCTTGAGAAGTCCGCTCGAGATCGAGAAGTCTACTCGAGAAGTCTGCTCGAGATCGAGAAGTCTACTCGAGAAGTCTACATTCAGATTTGCAAAAAAATCAACAAAATTCAGCTCTGCAACAATAACAAAAAAATTAGATCTGCAACAAAATTCAGATCTACAACAAAATCTACAAAATTTATACAACAATAAACTCAGATCTACAAATATAAACTTAGATCTACAATAATAAGCTCAAATCTATAATAATAAGCTCGGATCTATAATAATAATCTACTATATTTATAACATTCATATCTGTACAAAAATCAACAAAATTCAGCTCTGCAACAATAACAAAAAAATTAACAAAATCTACAAAATCTATACAACAATAAACTCAGATCTACAAAAATAAACTTAGATCTACAACAATAAGCTCAAATCTAAAATAATAAGCTCAGATTTGCAATATGAACACAAAGCAAACAAAAAGAGGAACACAAAAGCTCAGATTTGCTTACCACTACCATAATCTGCAAGTGAGAGGAGGTTGAATGCAAGATAGATAGGATGGAGAGGATATTGATAGCAAGAGAGGAAGGAGAAGAAATTCCTGGCCAGAGAGAAGGGAAAAGAGAGAGAGGCATTTTTTAGATAGAGAGAGACTTTATTGTTAATAAAATTAGGTTAAACTATCCTAATATATTTAGAAAAAAATTCGTTTAAGTAGACTTCTCCAAGAAGTCTACTCGAGAAGTCTACTCGAAAAACTGAGAAATCTACTCGAGAAGTCTTTTAGTATTGATTTTTATCCTAATTTATCTATGATGATTTACATTGATTATTTTCTGTCAAATTTTATTTTTAATTGGTGTAAAAAAGTATATATTTGTTGTTATGTATCTAATTTTTTATCAAATAATATTTTATGATTTTTAAAATTAATTATAATCATATTATTAGAGAGTAGACTTCTTGGAGAAGTCTACTTGACTTCTTGGAGTAGTCTGCTTAACTTCTTGAGTAGACTTCTCTGGGATAAAATAGTAATTGAGGCTGGCGTTTTTTTGTTTGGTCATAGGGGTTAAGATTATAATTTCACTACCCCTGTGAGTTATTTTTGTCAAACATGCAATAGGGGGTCTAATTTTGCATTTCAACTCAAATTTTGAGTCATATCCAATTTCCCCAATATATAATCATTATTTTTCAGTTACATATATATATACTATGAAAAAAATATTATGTAAATAATTTAGTTTTTCTGGATTGTTAATGGTTTTTTCGGAAAATTATGGGTTTGCGGATTTGACAAACACAATTTTGTAGATTTTACGGAATTTACAAATTTTAGCGGGTTTTATAAATTTTAGTAGAAATTATTTTTTTCTGAAAAATGCCGGTTTGTCAATAAATGTGCTTTTGTAGATTCAGTAGAAACACATAATTTTTGAAATTTGGTCGTAAATAACGATTTTGCATATTTTACGGGATTTACGGGAAAACACGGGTTTGCAAATGCGAATAACGCAATTTTGCGAATTTTATGGGTTTTACAGGTTTTAGTCATACAGAAAAATGCGGGTTTGTGAGTTTGGGAGAAATACATGAGTTGCCAAATTTGGTCGTAAAATACAATTTTATGAATTTTACAATATTACGGAAAACACGGGTTTTTGTGGATTTGACAGGAAACCTGATTTTGCAGATTTTACAAGGTTTACATGATTTTGCGGGTTTTATAGGTTTTGATGGAAAAATGTGGTTTTATGAATTTTATTGAAACTGCAGATTTGCGGGTTTAACGACAAAATGCAATTTTTCAGATTTGACAAAAACTACTTAATTTTAGAATTTAGCCATAGAATACGATTTTATAGTGTTGGGGAAAAACATAATTTTTGGTTTTGTTAAAAAATGTGGGTTTACAGTTTTGGCAGGAAAATACGGTCTGATGGAAAATGCTATTTTTACAGTTTCTACCGGAATTTTTGGTTTTGGTACAACGACATGATTTTACGATTTTGTGGCTTTATATTTCGATAGAAAAAAATAGTTTTGACAAAAAAAAAAAAACTTGATTTTGTGGTTTAAATTAAAAGATGTGTTTATCTCTTACTTTTTGAGATTCAAATGCTGTATCAAATCTCTATTTTTTAGCATTTTAAATATCCAAATTTTGAGATATTATAGAATTTGTATTCAGATAAAATATCTATATACTGATTTAAAAATATTTAAAAGAAAAATATTTGAGAGCATTTGCATCCAAATAAGTATCTCGAGGCAAAAACAAACAAAGCCTAAGAATCGTAATTACAAACAAATAAAATCTCTCTTACATTATAAAACGTAATATTTTAAAATATTTGTTACAAAACTTAACAAAAAATCCGTTAATCAAAATATTTTTTTTAAATAAAATCAAGCTTGAATAATTTTTAGAACATAAAACTATAATGTTAAAATAGTTTATATAATCTAATAAAAAACTTTTGTTTAGACCACAATTTTATATTTAATAATATAAGCTAATTTTTTTTGAACAAAAGTTTACTATAAAGCGATTGTTGCTATGATACAAATATATTTTGTAAAAAGAAATCCGCGCAAGTGCGCGGATCCAAAATCTAGTATATATATATTTGAAAATCATTTTAGGGAAAATTGATTGAGATATATATATACATTGTAAGTTTCTAGCAGATCTATTTACAACTTTTGAAGCATGGTTGGTACAAAGATGATTGAAAAATCTGGTAAAAGCTACAGAAATTTTATACATGTTTTACTTATCAACTGACAGCTGTATATTTTTAAAACCTACTAAAACTAGATACAAAGTTAAACAGGATTGAACCGTTAGCAAGTGTACAAATGAATCCGTATACATTATAAATTGATTGTATCGGTATGATCTTTACGGGTTAGTGTCGTTTCACGGCATGTTTCTTTACAATGTGATCATTTGTTAATTCCACACACACACATGCACACACATTGAAATATTTGACTCATGCTTACTTAATTTTGTAGCAAAGCCCATGAGAACGCATACATGTTTGTTTAATTTGTTATGCTAATCTATAGATAAGAGAACTGTAATTATATGAGTAATTCCGAAACTTTGGAGAATCGGGAGTAGTGAGTGCAGGTTGGAGCTGTTACTCCTCAAATATCGAAGCAAAACAAACAATGGACTGGTTTCCGGTTTTCTGTTTTCATTAATTAAATCAATTTTGCATTTATCTAAGGCGGTATTTCTATTTATAGCCTTTACATTTTGATATTATTCCAAAAGTAGAGTTACAACAAATCCCTTTCCGATTAAGAAACCCAAACCCTAGTAGTACTTTCTTACATCAACACATTTGGTGTTTTATTTTTCTTTTCTTAGGGTTTCATCTATCTAATATTATTTGAGATTTGAAAATGAATTTTGACAAGAAAAGAGAACAAGAGTATTGCTTGATGGGTTTGGCTTCAATTTTGTTGAAGCGGCCTGTTTCATGGCTCTCTCTCCTCGCTCCTCCGCTTCTTCACATCTTTGGTCTTCGCTTCTTACATCTCCTCCTCACTTCTGCTGCTTTGTTCTTCTCCTCTTTCTTGTTCCCAATCTCACTTCCTCCTTCTTCAATTCAATCATCAAAACAAGAACAATATCGAGACTATGTTGCCACCGAAGAGAGCACCGGAAAATCGGATGACATCCTCGAAACGACCTATGAAGAGGATGTAGACTGCGCAATCCCTGATGAGGAGAGCCTCATTGAGCTGTCTTTACCTAGTGGTCACTACGTAGGTCACCACCACATTAGTAACAAGAACAATCTCTATATCCACAACAAAGTCCAAGATTTTAGGCTCTTTGATATATTCACAGAGTTCAACGATTTCATTGAAGAAGATAATCTTATCGAAATCGACATCTCTATTGGATCCATCAAGTATTCAAGGTTCGAGATCAAAGCTTGATGTATTTACATTCGATGCTCTTTATACTCTCTTTTTTTCCCCTCATGTGGAAATTTCGTATAATTATGATCTCAATAAACTCCGAGTGTAAATTAATTTTAGCACTTTTTGCACTTCATTGTGCTCTCTGTTTTGTGTTGTGTTGTTAATTTTATTTGGATTATGAATTATGCCTTTGTTATTATGATCAGCTCTACTGCGTAGATCATCAGTTAAGTTTACAATATTATACCATCTTAGTAAATACTAAATACCTGTTAATACATCTCAATTTCTCTTGCAATTGCATTCATGGTTGCTTTGAGCCAACGAGATCGATGAATGCATTGTGAGTTTAATTTAGTTAAAAAATATTCCATTTTAAGCTTTCTAATTTTTAAAAGTAAAATGTTTGTGTTTGACTAGTTGTAAGTTGTATGTAAAAAATATTCCATTTTAAGCATTGGTCTATCTATCGCCCCCCTCAGTGTAATTGCTTTCGATCTTTAAAAAACAAAATGATTCAGATTCAACATGAATTTTTTTAAAAAATTGATATTAAAAAAAGAACGTTCTATATAAAATGCAATCATGAACATTCTAACGATTACTTGTAGAATTGTAACTTTTTCAACATAAAGAAAATACATAATTTTGGATCTTGAAGTTATTCATATGATTTAAAAAAAAAAATTGGGATTAAAGTTCATAGGTTTTTGGGTTTAAATTTTTGGACTTTGGGTCTGAAGTTTACTTATGTATTTGGCTTGATCGGTGCTGCAATAAAGACTCTTTCTTGATGAATTTGTAAGGATGGCAGTGGAGAAACCCGCGTACTCCTCTTGCGAGCTCTTTAAGCAGATGCTAGCTAGCCATTAACCTTAACATCTCGTACCTCTCCTCGGCATGATTTTACGTATTCCTCAATCGGCATCCACTGAGAAACTCACAACAAGAGAGCTGAGCCGTTAAAAGATATGCAGCAACTAAAATTTTCGTTGGTTCAGGTTTCATCACAAGATGAATAAAAAAATCTACCTTACATCTCATAGTCTTGTTTCTTGATTTCAAAAAGGAAAAATATATCTGTTTTTCTTTCCAAGAATGATTTGTGGCTTTCCTGTGAGCCAACAATAAGATTAAACTGGTCAGAAAAGTACCTAATAAAGAAGGGATAATCAGGAGATATTTTTTACTTTGCCTGAAAGCCAAAAAAACTTCTATAAAATTTGTCGTACTTTAAACCAAAAGAAAAGAATTAATATTAGATTACAGAATCAATATAAAAAATCGTGCACAAAAAAAAATCAATATAAAAACTCTACAACTATAAAATGCTTCTGTATGTTTCAAGACTGATACACACACCAGTTTCTTCTTCCACTTCCCTAACAGCTCCGGCCAAAATAGCTTTACCCTGTGATTATATCTCTATACAATGTGTTAACACATTGATTCTCTGCTTTTTGGTAAGTCTTGGTTCTATAGAAAACTTGGTTCAGTGATTTTTATTATTGGCAAAGAAGGGGATGAGGTTCTTACTAAGATAAGATTTTTTTTTGGTAGACTATAGGAGACATGAGTCTCCTACACTTTATTCATAGTAAAATAAATACCAGTTACATCCGTACATGTCAGGGTCTGGTTTTCCCAATTGCATCCGCCGACACAAGAGTTCGAACATCCTCCGGAACAAAATCAAAAACATGTAAACCCAAAAGCAATGAAAAAGCAAAGTTCGCCAAACCATCCGCAAGGTAGTTTGCCTCTCAATGCACATACGAAATCTTGACTATCCAGTCTCGCGATATGAAGCCATAGCACAATCGTGCTAGGAATGACAAGGGATGCGATTCGCTGATCTCTATCTGTAAGAACCTCACCACCATTTCTGAATTCACTTCCAACTCAAGCCGCGTAATCCTGTGTTCCCAGGCGAGGCACAAACCATAATAAACTCCCCATAGCTCGGCCAAAGGAGCTGAACAAATGCCTATATTTATTGCAAACCCCCCGCACCAGTCCCCAGCAGCATTCTGTAAGGCCCCACCTGCTGCTGTAAGTCCAGGATTTTCCCGGGAAGCATCATCAGTATTCAACTTCACCCATCCCTCTATCGGCCGAGACCATGCTATTTGTCTCTCCACTCTCGCCACTACTTGGGAATTTTCCTTGAACTTTGAGTGCGCGAGTATCGATTCCTGGGCCAGGTCCTTGACAAATTTTACTATGTCTCTGCATTTGTCATGTACACCAAAAACATACCCACAACGCCATTTCCAGCTCCACCATACAACAAATGCAAACAGCGTGGCCCAAGCACTATCCTGTCCTGCTACATCTGCCGCCAAGTTCCCATATAACCATTCAAGAAGAGATTGTGTGAAGAAATCATGTTGTCTACCTGCTGATACGAAGCGTTTCCAGATTCCCGCTGTGGCTGGACAGTCTCGGAGGACATGTAGATTCGATTCATTCCCTCCCCTGCATACTTGACAGACCCCTGAATCACTGAGATGTCTGCGATGCCTTTCCATGTTCGTCATAATGGCTTCGTTACCCACTAGCCGTAGAAAGACCCTTACTCTCTCTGGCACTACTACCCTCCAAACCCGTTTGAACAACATTGACATGTTCTGCCCTGGGACCTCACCTTTTGTGATGTAGTTATACGTTGATTTGACAGAGAACTCTCCATCTTGACTCTACACAAAAACACACATAAACAAAATGTGGCAAGATACCATAAACAAAATTTATGCAGCTTCCACACTCATGTTCCTGTAAAAGCAACACAAGCACTTGCAAATGGAAATGGAATTTTTTTAGTCAAATGTTAGATTCAGCTCTCGCTGTACCAAGTAACAAAGCAAGAATCGGCTATAACTAAACATCATGGCGAGAAAAGACAAACTGATACACCAAACATTTGTTTGATAATTTTTGTTACCTCTGCTCCTGTTTAGGACTAAAGCACCAATCCCAAGACGATGAAAAGTATTGGCAGGAATAGTGTTAGGTGACTCAGATCGATAAATTTCGATAGCGAGCCTCTAACTGACAAAGACCTCAAAAAGGACCAAGAAAGAGATGGTGAGTTTCTGATTAAGTTGTAAACAGACAAAGACCTCAAAATGACCAAGAAAGAGGCTAGTATTCATAGTCTGGCTTTGATTTCTCGGTGACATAATCTTGAGGATCTCGTATCATCAGTCGGAATTTACCATGAGAACTTTCTGATTCGTCATATTGAAAGTTGAAGTCCTGAATCTTGTTGTTAAAGAAAGCTAAGGCTGCTAAACAGCAACACAGTTTCACTGTAAGATTATCATTAATGTGTTTTGCTTCATCCATTTTATACCGTTGCCTGCTTTATTCTGGTTTTCAGTCTGATAAACTAACCATCTTGAATGTGTCTTAACCAAAAATTGAAGAGCTTTACACAGAAATTGCCTCCGTTGTACCCTTTACTAGTAAATAGGGCGAAATCTTCACACCATTCAACACAACAAAACCAATCAATCCAGAGAACTACTGCATCTTTCAGCTCACATGCCAATACAGTACCAGAACCGGAACAATCATACCCATTACCCACCATGCCAGCTCAAACAGATGTGATGATAAGCAACAGAAGAGAAGGAGACATATACAGACAGAGTGACCAAAAAACGCAGAGCACCATTGCTTTTGAATAAGAAAACACTTAAGTGACTTATATTCCATGTATGAGAGAACATATGTCTTATTGATATATATCTAAAAGCCAAGCAAATTCTGTACTAGTAGTAGTTGTTGTTGCCAGAAAACTCATGTTTTAATCAATATTTATAATTATATTTTAAACCGCTTTACACAAAAACAGCATAACCCTCGGCTACAATTTCAATATCAAGAAAAAAACACCAAAACAAAACGTATTAGCGAATCCGAAAGACAAAGAGATCATAAACATAACATAGTGTGTGATAACATAACATAAAAATTCGTCTCAAAGATGTGTAGGGGTTTCTTACCGCGTGCGAGGGAAGAGTGGCTCAACATCTGACCACGACATAGAGGAAGACGATGCATCGACGTTGAATCCGGAGGCTGGAGCAGTAACAGCCACGTTATTCAAACCGATGAGAACTTCAAGGGCTCCTTCTTCTTCTTCCTCCTCGTTGTCGCTCTCATATTCACGTGGCTGAAGCTGTTCCCGAGACGAACAACACGTTTCTAGCTCCGTCACTACCAGTCTCATGTCCGGCCGCTTCCTCCTCTTCATGTTCAAGCACTTCCTAGCAACCTTAGCGACCGCCATGACTTGTCCCAAGTCACTCCCCACTTGGATTCATCTCTGATCCGGGCATCAATGATTTCCACGAGTCTGTTATCCTTCATGGTGCGGTTGAAATAGGTCACAAGAGCTCTGATTTCCTTAGGCCGCTCGAGGGAAACCGGCTTCTCTCCGGTGATTAGCTCCGCGAGCACCACGCCGAAACTAAAGACATCACTCTTGTCTGAATATTGGCTCGATTGCAAATACTCCGGGTCTAGGTATCCGGCGGTGCCTGAAACAATGGTAGTGACGTGTGTATGATCTTCAGGTATCGATCTTGAGCTGCCGAAGTCAGACACCTTAGCTCTAAACTTGTCATCCAACATAATGTTGGTTGTTTTAACGCCTTGTGGAATATAGGGATCGATGCCGTGGAGCGCAAGTAAGAAAGTGCCCCAGCGATCTCGATGGCTATGCGTAGACGCTCATCCCAACAACACATGGTTTAATCAGCAACCTCGTTCTGGATATGCTCGAACAGGTTCCCGTTGGAGATAAACTCGTACACTAGGAGAGGGACCTCGGTCTCAAGGCAGCATCCTATCAGCTTGACGATGTTTCGATGGCTGATTTGCGAGAGAATGAACACTTCGTTGATAAACTCTTGTATCTTATCTTCGTCCACCTTCGTTGATTTCTTGACAGCCACTGTTCTGCCGTCGATAAGCATACCTTTGTAGATACGTTGCCCTCCTTGTCC